CAGGGCTGTAGACAGGAGTTTTTAAATATGACTCCTAATGCATCTGAAGTTGCTGCTAAGACATTTTTGAGAAGCTGAGATTTTCCATTGAACTTCATAGTCATTGTATTAAGTATACGTTGTGCTGTTAGAAATGGATGTTGGTTAAGCTCCCACACTTTTGATAAATGAATTGCAGTAAATACATTGTAATTACATTGTGATTATAAAATGTACATTTTCAGAAAGCTATCTAGTCCCTTTCTCAACAATATATTTCAGTTAATGGAAAAAGTATTTGGATAATAATGAAATGATAGCAAACTATTTGTACCATGTCCACCCTGTCATGGAAGGCTTGCTGACAGGGTGGACAATGACAGGGTGGACATTTTTGGCTAATATTAGCATTTAATGAGCACATGGTGGACCTTCAGTTAGCAACATGATTCAGTTAGCAAGGTGACTGTGTACTGTTTAACAAATATATTTCATGATGACTGAGTGATTCTGATGGGGACACCAAAGTTACTTTATAGTGATATTGACTAGCCAAATAACACATTTATTTACTCTTGTTGATGTTACCTCCCAATATTTGTTTCCTCAGAGCCTTCTTTTCATTTTATTCTAAATCCTAGTATCTAATTTAAATGTATATATATGTGTGTTCATATTCATATAGCTCCCATGTTATCATAAAACATAATCAACCTCTACTTAAGTCTTACCAGGCAGGGACATGCACTCAACTTTGAGCTTAAGTTGCACATCCACATGGATATATAGCAGGCAGTATGAGAAGAATAAAGCACTTTTTGAGCATTAAACCAGTTTACATGTCAAATACCTGAAAATGAGAAAGATAGGGCCTCTTTAATTAGCCCCATACCTCTACCCTCACCTGAGTGTTTTTCTCTGTTTCAGACGGTTGGCTTGAGTCTCATGAATGAAGCAGTTGGGGGCTCAGAGAAGGTGTGTGTACCTCCAACCATGTTTTGTTGTTTTGTTGTTTTGTTGTTTTGTTGTTTTGTATGCTGCAGCAACGCAAAAATGTCCCAATTTGGGATCAATAAAGTGCCTCTTATCTTATCTTGCCTGCGTGTGCATGGTACAGCAGTTTTTACATCTCCCTGTGCTACCCCTCCTCCTCTCCCTCAGTGTGTGTCTGCTGTGAGGGAGGCCTTCGGGGCTGCGGAGGCTCTGATGATCAGGAACGTCAGTCAGGTGGCCAAAGACTTCAGATGCTGTCAGACCCCCAAAGACCACCAGGATCAGGTGACGGATCTGGGTTTTATTTACTCGATTATTAACTCGATTTTTTATTTTGTTGTCAAATTTGACTATTTTAACCATTCTCATCAATCTATTTAACCAAGCTATATGTTATTATGCTTTATTTTGTATTTCTTCCACTGCTTAAAGAGCTAAGAGGTCAAATCTATCTACGGTTGTATTATTATTTTTAGGTGTATTTTCTTTATTATTATTGGTAATTTTTTATTATTATTATTCATTTATTATTATTATTATTTATTTGTAATTTATTTTTTAAGTGTATTATCTTTATTATTATTGCTAATTTTGTATTATTATTATGAATTGATGTTTCTTTATTATTGATGTATTTGTGAACGTTTAATGTATTCAGGTGGAGCTGATGCAGAGTCTGGCTGATATCGTCATGGGAACAGTGCAGTACAATGAGGAATCAGTGCTGATGTCTATCAGTGATCTGTGTGGAGTGATGACCAATCAAAGCGCAGCATACGAGGAGGAGAGGGAGCCTTACCAACGCCTGGTTAAACTCTCACAGGTATTAAAAACTGACTTTAAAACAGTGATATTACACATTTTTAAACATTTACTGGTATGTATGCTAGACAATGTGCTCATCTGATTTTGATGAACATTTGTTTTAGTTCTATTTGATGTTATATTTTTTAGCTTCATTTATATTTCTTTATTTTTGTATTAATTATTTTTAATTGGAGGTTCCACTTTCACCTATCATGCAAAATGCACCTTTGTACGTCTTTTATACATGAATATGTGTCCCCGGTGTTCCAGGGAACTCACCAAGAGTCAGAAAACACAACCCTCTCTATTTTCCTCCATACCCAAATCTCTTAAAAAGGGGCTGCAACGGATCTGATACAGACTGATCCAGATTTGAACACTTTTCTGACGTCAGGACGGTGGCGCTACGGCTATTATAGCCGTAGCGCCACCGTCCTGACGTCAGAAAAGTGTTCAAATCTGGATCAGTCTGTATCAGATCCGTTGCAGCCCCTTTTTAAGAGATTTGGGTATGNCGCTATACGCTGCTCTCTATCTCGTCTCCTCTTCACAAACAACTACTTTTTTCGCGGCACGAGTACTTACAGCCAGGGGCGCCGCCAAGAATTTTGGGCCCCATGAAAAGATATCACATTGGGCCCCACCACCATGCACAGGCCACACCAACCAAGCACAATTGCTGTAACCACACCTCCAGAACCCAACCGACTCATTTATGCTTTAAATAACTCTACCTGTACAGGCTTGTATCTATCTTGTAGTCCAATACTAACTGCACAATATTTACTTTCACTGGGCGGTGAAAATATAACACTGTGCAGACTGCAAATTCTACTGCAACATTCTGCTGCAGTAGAATTCACTATTTGATATAACACTAACATTCCTGACAATAGACCTCAATAATCATCTTTTATGGTGTACATG